ACGAAACTTAGTTCTGTCATCTCATCCAAGTACAATATAATGTCTTAAAAACTAAAAAATGCATGCAATGTTTAAACACCATTCACATAAGTGCAATCTAGCAGTCTAATTACGGCAGTATTTGCTTCTTATTTGAAATCTTTTGGTGCTCATTAATTTTCTCCGCAAAGCCAATGCACTATCACAGAAACATGCATGTCAAGCATACAAGCATGTACATTTCCACTTTGCTTTAAGAATTAGAGTAAGTTCAAAAGTAATACCTCCCAATCTAGGTAGTTAGCTGCAGTTTCATAATTAGTTAGAATTGAAACTGTACACTGTAAAGTAGGTAACTCTTTAGCCTGTATTGGGGGGAAACGGCGGTCCCTGAGGGCGCTGAAAATGAATTCAACTATCAGTATAAATACAGATATAGTGTCACAGGATATAACAAGCTTTAAAGTAGGCATGATCAAAATCACTTACTTAAGAACCTAAGAGTGACAAATTTAACGTCTCGAAACAAACAAAGAGAAAGAGAATGAAATGTAAAACGTCATTTGTACTGAAACAGTGAAATCTGAAGAGATTAAAGTGCAATAATCTCAAGATTTAACTGTACACAGATCCAATATCTTTATACCACATGCTAAGTTGCTAACCAATAAATAAAAAAAGACCTTTATAGCGCATACTGAATCATGCTGAAGTACTACACTAGTCCGCAAACAGATTGCTTTCAGAAGCTCAAGAAGGGTCCGATCAATTAAAATAAATTTTTCTTTCAAAACATACCCAAGCCTAACAAGCATATAATCCTTCTGCCAGTGATAACCACACTCATGCAAGAAACTCTTATCACAAAATGAAGCTCAATTATCTTAATCTAATTCCTCCCTATTAGCTAAAGAACATGAAATAAAATTGCGAAAAGTAAGAAGACAGCTCCTCAGATATAACTTCACTTATAATTTACCTTGTTAGAGCATAATCCCTAAAACCATTAACAATGCAGCGAGCTTCCAGAGTGCCAATGCATCCTCGCAACCGAGGCTCCCCACCATTCACTGCTTTCTTCCAAGTCACAAATAATGGGCTGAAATGCAGTTTGGGCCACATGAGAACAAAGCATCCAAATTAATCTTTGCATTGGTTTGGCATTTTATAAGTTTCAAAGGAAAGACTAACAATGACGCTAGCATTTTGGTTAGTTTACAAAAGGGACAGTAATAAAGCATTACCCAGTACAAAACTGACAAGCAGCTTATCAACACTAGACTTAAAAACATTTCTCAGTGAAGACAGTATACAGAGACAGTTAATAGGTCAAGTTTCAGAGCCACAAACCTTAAAGATTATAAGGAAGATTAAAGACTACAAGTAGGGGAAATTATATGGAAAAGGAAGCTTCCAATATGTAGAAAAAGAAGTTCCCTACATAAAATCCTATTTGAAAAACATACAAAGCAAAGAAAGGCCATTTTCAGAATGCTATCACTTAGTAAAAACTATTCTCAAAAAAACAAAAATTAACACTTAGTAATTACAAGTGACACAATTGGAATTAAGAAGTTAAAAATCACTTCTTTTTTTATGGCAAAATAGCCTAGTAAACTCTTGTAGTTGTTTCGATTTGCCATCCCGGTCCTTGTACTACATAAAATTTCATCTAGACACTTATAGTTATTAAAACACACTGTTGGCCTAGCTTATGTGGCATAAATAAGGCTGAGGTGGATAAAACGATTGGTACATACGTGCAGAAAGAGCTTGAATACAAGGATTCGGCAGAAAATGACTAAAATAAGAGAAAAAAGAAAAATATAAGACCAGCGAAGAACCCATGGTTCTCTTCGTTGCTGCCATTGCCATAATTTCTTCTTTTCATCAGAATTAAAGATAGAAAATCATCATAATTTTCTTAGGCAAAATTGTTAGAATAATCATAAGTTCTCAACAGGAACTCCATCCAAAATTAGGAATGTCATCGGAGCTAGTCGAAAATTCATCACTGGTTATAGCTGAAACCTTCGAACCATCAAGGGCGAAGAACACACCGAAAAAGTTCGAACCATCACCGGCGTGGAGACCACCATAATTTTTTCTTCCGTATCACACCTTTGTAATAGAAAATAAAACAACCCTAGTAGTTCAATCAAATCGGAAGAGAAATACTAAAAGGGGTGCCCGAATCTGATTTATAATGGCGTGTGGGTGCCCAAATCTTGCTTGGTTTGTGAAAATTATTGGATTTTATAGTGACGGCAACTTCAATTGTTTCCTCTTCCACTTTTAATCCCTCAAAAAATTATAGCGGATATTCACAAATCCCCATTTTTATTCTTTGTTTCTAATGAAGTAGAGATAGGGAAAAAAGAAGTTTTTGATGTTTGCTAGAATCTCAGTTGTAGTTGTTCAATGGTGAGGTTTTAATGGGGAAGGTCTGAACGTATTACAGTGGTATTGGAAGGTGAAGAAGGTGAAATGGTGGCCATTTTGCCTTTTTCAATTTTTTTTTGTAAGACTAAAAAAATGATATTTTATTTGATGTGGATATTAATATTAGCGTGATTGAACAACACGCAGGATCAAAGGGTTTAAAATAGTGTGTTTTAACAGCTAGAAGTGTCTAGCTAAAACTTCATGGAATACAGGGACCGGGATGACAAATCAGAACAAGTACAAGGATCTACTAGGCTATTCTGCCTTTTTTTATCAATATGGCAGTCCGGTGCACAAAACATCCGCTATTCACGTAGGGTCTAGGGAAGGGCCGCACCCAAAGGATGACATATAGACAGTTTGCCCTAATGCAAGCATCAGTGGTTCTTCTACAGCGCAAACCCGTAACCTATAGGTAATTGTTGTTCCAAGGCTCCCCCTTCAATAAAAGTAAGAAATCACATCTTTTTAATCACTAAAAGAAAATTCACATCTTGAAAGCACATCATTTGCAATTGGCGTTAAAAAACAAAATAAAGGAGCAATTTTCCAGATTAAAAACACAAAGGGATTGAAATCGCATTGACCCACCATGCAACCAAGAATGTAAACACAGTAAAACACTCAACTAAGCAACTTTCACAAAACAATCTAATTCATTCAAATCTTCAAATAGAGAAATTGCACATACCCAGGTACAAGGTTGTTTATTTTCCACATACTCTATATCCAAAAAGGATAGTAAAGATATTTTTACACATAGCATGTATATTAAAATTCAAAATACCCCATGTATTAAAAAATAAAAAAGGAGTAAAATTTGCAAGAATAGAGATGTGGGTGTCTCTCTTTTTAGGCTAAAAGAAAAGGGGAAAAGAGAAAAGTAACATACTGTTCACCCTCATCAAAAGCAGCAGGAGGAGGTTGTTCCTTGTTGTAGTGAGCCACCAATGTATCAAAGCAGTAAACAACCATTTCCTTATTTGCTGACACCATTTTTTTCTCTTGTTAAATTCAAATCAAACTTCAACCCGAAACAAGAACGGATATTTCAATCAATCAGTTAACAATCAATGGATCAACTGCTATCAATTTGAGTCAAATAAATAAAGGGTTTTCCCCTTTTTCTATGTGCTATATAGATTTAATAAATCTTAAGCAGAATTGAGTGCAGAATAATAAGAAAGAGCCTTTAGAGTATTCTCCTTCCTTTTCCCCTTTGGCTCTTTTTGAGTTTTTGCTTTAATGGTTCCCAAGAATTATTTAGAGTAGTGGAAAAGCCAATATTACTTGGCTTTTTCCTTTTTGTTTTTCTTACTCCAAATATAATTAATTCCAAATATAATTAATTGTACTCAAATTATTTTTTTGCATTAATGTCATGTCATGGACCAACCTTCTAGTGAAAAGCTAAAAAAGTCCCTCGATTGCTGGAAATTATTATATTGTTGCATTTAAGTTGCGTGACAAAAGACATGAAAGCAACATGACAATTTCCGAGTTTTAGTCCCTCATTTAGACATTAATAATGTTGTCCAATAAAACGTTCAATGTTTATTGAAACATGTCTATCTATTCTCACGATGTAGATAAGATCTACATACTTACTATCCTTCCCAAATTTTATTTCTAAAATTATACTAGATTTATTGTTATTGTTGTTGTAATAAAATGTTCAAACTTTCCCACAGTTTAGGCATCCGATTCAGTTGCATTCTGCAAAAAAGCTAAAGGACGCAATGAGAAAAAATAAGACACAAGTTTCGTTTCAACTTTCATCCTGGTCGACCAAAGATCTAGAATCTTAGATTTAGTTCGTATAAATATAATCCCCTCATCCTTAGGTGTTACAAAATTCTTATAAATCCTTGGTTTGAATATTAAACTATTGGTTATTGTATCAATCGTTTATTGCACGCAATAGTGTCATGGTAGACAATTGAAATTAAGTAGTTGAAAAACCTAGATCTACTCGAGCATAGAACTGATTCCGTCCTTAAGATTTTGCGTTAAGCATAAAATGTCCTATAATTTTAAATTTTTATATCACCTTTGTTGTCATGTGAACTAAAAAGGTTAACTATAGTAGAAGTTTGATCTATATCCATGATGATGACAGATGTATTGAATCAGGAGCGGAGAGAAAGGTTGAAAGTTGGATCCACATGAGATGTATAACAACATGACTAAACAAAAACTAGTTAACAAGTCGAACCCCTACGAATAACTAAGATCGCTTACACTTGATAATCTATCAAGTGCTGATTAGGTGCGGAGGATACAGACTGTTTAAGAAGAGAAAGTAGTTGGTCGAAAATAAAGGAGAAGTAGCGACCTTCTACTAAACATCACATTAGGGATGACCTTTGAGTCCTTTTCACTACATATAAATACTATGAAATGTATATTGAATGTAGCACGGGCTTACTTTGTGAAAAAGCTGAATATTGGCAAGTCCAACCAAAAAGTCCTAACTTACCAAACAGGCGCACAATCGTATTAGATTTGTTGGTTCCTTGAAAATTATTGGCAAGTGTTTTCTTCATTTTCGGCAACAGTATAAAAAAGACATGAGATACTGAAATATACCCCTGTTTGTAGAAGAAAGCAGGCAAAAGAGTTCTCTATGGTACATTTTGCGTCACCGCTAGAAACTAAATAGCTTCATTCTTTTTCGTGAGATGTACGCAGTAAAAAAAAGGTACTTAATTGTATCCAACACAAATATCCAGAACGTAATTGTTAAAAGTAAATGGTCGTAGCACACAATAAGTACAAGGATTATTCAAGTTAATCCGAATCCGAATCATGTCTTCTTCTCTTCTCCTTGTCTTTCTTGTGTTTCCTCCTGTCATCTGAATCACGGGTATGCTTCCTCTTATCGTCTGAATCGCGGGAACGTTTCCTCCTGTCATCTGAATCGCGGGACTGTTTCCTCTTATCATCTGTATCCTGCAAGTATCGCTTCTCTCTCGATTCATCTTTTTCCCATCTCTTCTCTTCTCGCCTCCTCTTCTTTTGGCTCCTTTCATCCTCTGACTCTTCTTCATTCTGTAGGGGTGCAGCAACAGTTACACTCACATTAATCTTTTCTACAGGCTCATTTATCGGATCAGATGGAAAAGCCGATGGTGAACTTGGCTGTTCCCAAGGTTTGGGCAATCTGCAGAATGCGTTAGCAAAAATGATAAGGCACCCGCACAGAATAAAGATGAAACAAAATCCATACAGTTCTGTCCTTTATTATTTTCTTTAAATCTTAATTTAATAACTCTTGGACCTTTCATCTTAAAAGTCAAGCCACCGTTCCTCAACTAGCAATGAAGTTCAGAGATAATTTATCCATAAGAAAAAAGCTAAATGGCAGGCAGAAAAATAGTGCATAACGCACAACATAGGAAATAAAATGACTGATAAGAATCACAAAAATCTAAAGAGAACTTTCAATGCTAGTGAAACCAATACTTACTTTGAGAAACCAAGACCATCTACCCGAGCTGCTTCAGAATGGCCTGCTCCCAAGTCTTCTGCAGTTGAACCTCTCTTCACAAGTTCAGAAAACTCATGTTTATCTAGCCGAGTACCTTGAGGACGTGTGGCACGCTTAGGAGCTAAGCCCAGTGCCTCCCTCATTGCCTGCTCCTCCTCTTCTTTAATCCTCCGTATTTCTTCTTTTGCAGCCTCCATATCCTTTTCCTGGGATTTCTTATCGCGGGTGTACCAATGAAGATCTTTCCCTGCACAGAGGGAGAAAACACCACAACAAGATGTAAAATATGTAATGAAGAAATAAAATGTCCAGTGCAACTTACCCCAGCTTTTCCCAGTAAAAAAGCACTAGGGATTCCAGATAAAATATGCATTTAGTACCTCATGAATCCAACATGTTATTTATAACTTCAAATCTATATCGGCTAGCTTTGTCCAAACATGCATCTACTGAGACTTAGCAAGATAATTACAGTATACAAAGCAGGGCAGAATAATCTCCTCCGACAATACAATATTAGACAAGATAAAAATGACCACATCCGCCAGAAGGTGCAATTAGCACACATCAAGGATAAATGAGAGGAGGACACTTGAGATTGTTTGTCTATTTCCTACGTCTACCTCCAGATGCACCGGGTCTTCAGTGCGAAATGTAAGTGTTATAAGGGGACGGGGTAGACCTCAAAACACATGGAAGGAAGTTGTTTCGAAAGACCTACAATCTCTTGGAATCTATGCATAATTAGCCAAAGGTAGGGTATGATGGAAGAAGATGATCTATATAGGTAATAAAAATTAGTTGGGATATATTTTAGTCATTAGTACATCACTTTAGGTCCTATGCTTTCTAGGAGTCTTTTAGCCTTGACAAGATTTATACGTCAGTAGAAAATATAGAGAACTTCAAATATATTTTTGTTATTATTTGTATCTCGCATAATATTGACTTTAGATGAGTTTAAATGGAGAAACATGATTAATGAGGATTCATATAGCCGACTACAACTTGTTTGGGATTGAGGCATCTATATCTCACTCCTCCGACAACCAACAAGGCAAATCAATCAACTATGCCTCAATCATTAACTAGTTGTCGCTCACTATAAGAATTTTTTTTATCTATTGAACTCCATTAAATTTTGTTTCATTTTTCAGTACATAATTGTCTTTTAAGGCAACTTCGGAGTTGCCTAAAGCTAGAGATTCTCTAACTTTCACAGTTACCTTACACGCAAATACAAGTCTCTAACCAGAATAAAACTAGAAATCACATGACCTAATGTAAGCAACAACAACCAGCAAGTCTTAATTCCAACTAGTTCTCGTCGCCTATATGAATCTTTTACTATCGTTATGTGCTTTTCTTGGCTAAATACGCACTGATTCCAAGGGATAAGGTCTTCTAATAAAATTTCCTCAATGTAATTGAAGGCCTCTTTCAGTTTATTCCTTTTTTCAACTAGGGTATTTCAGTTATTTATTATATGTGCTACTTGCACCCTCCGTTGATGTGATCATCTCTAATCTTTTTCAATCTTGTATAGTTGGACAACCATCCAAACATTCGTAATTTCAACATCATTCAAGCTGTTGATAGCCCTTTTTTTTAATTGGTTCAAGATGTTGATAAGCCTTATAGCCCAATATTCACTCCTATACGATATTGCTAATCTGAAAACTTTTATAGAACTTCCTTTCACTTTATTAGGTATTTAGTATTTACTTATCACATAGGACTCCGAATAGGGATGGCAATGGGGCAGAAAAGTAGGGCAGGGCAGGGCAGGGCTTTAATGGGGCAGGGCAGGGTTTGGCGGGTCAAAATACGTTTTTAGAAAATTTTAAATAGGGCAGGGCAGACCTGCAGGGATAGGTAAGCAGTTGTAGCTTCATTAAAAAGGTCAAAAAGTTATAAAAACTTGAATAGAATATTGCAAAACCAAAAAAAAAAAAATTTTGAAAAATTTGAAGGAGAGTCTAAACAGGGTAGGGTAAGGCTGGGAAAGGCGGGTCAAAAGCTTAGCAGGTCACAGCTTGCCCTGCCCTGCCCAGTTGCCATCCCTAACTCCGAAATCACTTGATAGCACTCTTCCATTTCAATCTTTATACTTCAGTTCAATGTTTATCTTCATCTATCATGTCATTCTCTTAAAAGACAGCCTAGATATTTGAATTGTTTGCATTTAGGTACTACAATCTCGACTTAATATCACTTTAGCTTCATTCTTAAGAGGGTTACACTTCCCGAGCATATATCCTATCTCATTTCTACTTATCTGAAAATCCTCAATCTGTAAAGTGCTTCTTCACAGCTCCATTTTTTCGTTTCATTAGTCTTCAATTGACAATATCATCAGCAGGTACATGCACCATCGAACATCATCCTATAAATTATTGTTTATCTCATCCAAACATTAGTTTAATACTTTAATTAAATTCAAGCTCACAGAAGACCCTTGGTGTAAACCCACCATTATACTCAACTCCTTCCTTACCTATTTTAAAAAAATTACTAAACTCTTATATATCTCCTCCTACTGTTCACACACCTTTGATTGCTCCTTTGTACATAATCTTTATAACATTGATATATTTGGTATGAGTTCTTTATTCTAAAGTATACTTCCCTTAGCATTTCTATTACATGCTTGACTACAAAACTAGACTAATCGATCAAAAACTCAATACAACATACAATAGGAAGTTCCTGCAAAATCTATCACTTATGGTCCATTGTAAGATAATAGTAGATAATAGAATAATTGCAGCAGCAAATAAAAAGTAACATGAAGTACTGTGATAATTCATGAATATATTACCCAGTGTTTTAAAAAGCATCACTTCGTCGCTTTAAGCGAGAAGCAACGCGAAGCGACCAGCCATCACTTTTTCCTACCCGCAGAAGCGATCCAGTCGAGGAAACGCGAAACGACACAGAAGCGAGAAGCGCAGAATCGATCGCTTCTGTCCAGAGGGGTCAATTTTTTTAAAAAAAAAGTTTGGGTCTATTTTTCTATTATACAAAACATACCCCAAAGTGAAAGAGACCATTTCTTTCTCTTCTTCCCAAAATCGAACGTTGCCGCTGCTGCTAGGGTTCCATTCCAGCCACGACCAAAGACCTCCAGGTAATTTTTCTTCTTTTTTTCTTCTATCTTTTTCTTCTCCTTTTCTCTCTTCTTTCTTCTTCTTCGCGTCCAGTCGTCTGCACGGCTAGGGCAGGCGCTGTTTTTTTTTTCTTTTATTCTTCTTATTTACTCCCTCCGTTCCAATTTATGTGAATCTGTTTGACTGGGCACGGGGTTTAAGAAAAAATGAGACTTTTGGAATTTGTGGTCCTAAACAAGTCAAAAAGGGACCCAGAGTATTCGTGTGGTTATAAAAACTTCTCATTAAAGGTAGAATTGTAAGTTTAAGCAAAATTGTTTTCAAATTTAGAAAGGGATCATTCTTTTTGGAACGGACCAAAAAAGAAATAGGTTCACATAAACTGGAACAGAAGGAGTAGTATTTTAGCCTTTATTTATTAATTTTTATGTGTATTTCAGTTTATAAATTTTTTTATTATATATATATATATATATATTATTATATATATATATATGTATATATTATATTTTCAGTTTATTTGATTATGTTTTTTCTTATATCTTAATAGGAATTAAAAATGTCCCAAAGTTCGAAAGAGAAAGACCCGACTTGGCAATATAGCGACAAAGTTAATGAGAAGAATAGTACAAAAGTTATATGCAAGTTTTGTAACAAGATTACAACGGGAGGAATTTATCACTTTAAATTCCATCTTATTGGTGGCGATAGAAACGTCACAAGTTGTCCGAAATGCCCACCGAAGGTGAAGGAGGAAATAAAGAATTTTGTTGAGAGGAGGAAGGAGCAAAAAAATCAAATGAGTCATCAACCATTTGTGATTAATCTTGATGATGATAATGATGATGATGATATGGAAGAAGGTGAAGGTTTGTCACTTCCAACAAAACGGAGAAGAGATGCAATCTCTTCAAGCCATGGATCGACGGGTACGAGTAGGACTAAAGATCCTATAGATTGTTATTTCCCAAAGAAGCCAGAAGCAAAGAGTGGTGGAAAAGATGTGCAAAAAATTGCCAAGGACATTTTAAGGGATCGTGAGTTAAAGCTTTTGCACGATGGGTCTATGATGTTGGGTTCCCCTTCAATTGTGTCAACTATACTGATACTTTAGGAGACTTTATTGAGGTCGTTGGTCAATATGGACCTGAAATGAGCCTCCCACTTATCATGAAATCAGAGGTCCTTATCCAAATAAGGAAGTGGAGGAGACCAATAAAATTGTGAAGGAACATAAAGTTGTGTAGAACAAGTATGGATGCTCCATTATGATGGATAAGTGGACGGGAACAACCGGGAAAATGATTATTAATGTGTTGGTGAATTCTCCCAAGGGAAGCTTGTTTCTTGAGTCGATTGGACTCCATGTGCGGCTCATCGCATCAACTTAATATTCGGGGACATTTTCAAGGAAAAACCCTTCTCTACAGTTTTTGGCCAGGGCGTTAGGGTACATTCTTATATTGCTCAGCGGCCCTTGTTATTGAATATGAGAAGATTCACCAAACAAAAACATTTGGTGAAACCAGGCAAGACAAGGCTCGCCACTGCTTTCTTGACTTTGCATAGTATCCACTTCAAAAGGCCAATTTGAGAAAGTTGTTCATTTCACAGGAATGGAACAAGAGTAAATTTGCAAAGGAAGCTGGGGGGAAAGAAGATGCACGCATTATTCTTTCTTATTCTTTTTGGAATAATGTCCTTCATGCTCTTAAAATTGGTGGCCCTTTGATTAGAGTACTCCGTTAGGTGGATGGGGAGCAAAACCCACCAATGGGCTACCTCTATAAAGCTATGGATAGGACCAAGGAAGCTACTCAAGCATCATTCACTGATGAATGAAATATGCAAAGGTCTTTCAGATCATTGATTCAAGATGGACGGAGCAACTTCATCGACCTTTGCATGCAGCTGGACTTATTCTGAATCCGTCACTCTTTTATGATCAGTATGAGAATAATTCACTAGCTAAAGAAGTGTGGAAGGGATTCCATGAGCATGTTATTAAGTTGACCCGAGATGAAGACTTGCAAGAAAAGATAGTAAATCAGTTTGCTATTTATAAGCATGTGAAGGACTTTTTAAGCTGCGACTGGCTATTAAACAAAGAAAGACGAAGTCGCCAGGTGATCGAGTGCTTCTATATTTTATAGCTCTAACTTTTAATGTATTTTTTATACTTATTAACTCTTGAGTATTTTTTATTCACTTTTATAGTTGAGTGGTGGAACCAATATGGTGTAGAGACTCCGGATTTACAGACTTTCGCCATCAAAGTTCTGAGTTTAACTTGTAGTTCATCCGGATGTGAAAGGAACTGGAGCATTTTTGAACACGTGAGAACTAAAAAGAATGATTTCATGTTTTGAGATAAAGTAAATTATATCTCAATTGTTCTAACTCCTATTAATTAGTTGACACATCTTGTTCGCAGATTCATACAAAGAAGAGGAATTGACTAACCTTGAAGCGCCTCCATAATCTAGTGTTCAACAACAACAACAACCCAGTAAAATCCCACAAAGTGGGGTCTGGGGAGGGTAGTGTGTACGCAAACCTTACCCCTACCCCGATGGGGCAAAGAGGTTGTTTCCGATAGACCCTCGGCTCAGGAAGACGGGAATAAAACAAGAAGAGACAATTCATCAGTAACGTCAGCAAAAACCGTAGAAATAGTAACAGAAGCATAAAAACCAAAAAATAGATGACATGCAATAACAGTAACCAGTAATTAAGGTCTGGGGCTAAGAAAAACAGAAAGGATAGTATGGACTCAATATTAACCACAAGCCGTCTAAGATCAACCCTATCCAACCCCGCCTCACCCCTGATATGAAGTAGGAAAAGCTCGACTACCCCCTAGCCTACAACCCTAATGTTTGACTTCCAGACTTTCCTATCAAGAGCCATGTCCTCGAAAATCCGCAGTCGTGCCATGTCCTGCCTGATCACCTCTCCCCAATACTTCTTAAGCCGCACTCTACCTCTTCTCGTACCCACCACAGCCAACCGCTCACACCTCCTCACCGGAGCATCAAGGCTTCTCCTCCGCACGTGTCCGAACCATCTGAGCCTCGCTTTCCTCATCTTGTCATCCACAGGGGCCACGCCCACCTTCTCCCGAATAACTTAATTGCTAATCTTATTCATCCTAGTGTGCCCGCACATCCACCTCAACATACTCATCTCTGCTACCTTCATCTTCTGGATATGAGAGTTCTTAACCGGCCAACACTCTGCCCCATACAACCTGGCCGGTCTAACCACAGCTCTATAAAACTTACCTTTGAGTATCGGTGACACTTTCTTGTCACACAAGACTCCAGATGCTAGCCTCCATTTCAGCCAACCCGCCCCTATACAGTTAGTGACGTCCTCGTCGATCTCTCCGTCCGCCTGAATATCCGACCCAAGGTACTTGAAACTACCTCTCTTGGGGATGACCTGTGATCCAAGCCTCACGTCCCTGCCTACTACCCTCGACTCAGCGCTGAACTTGCACTCCAGGTACTCTGTCTTAGACCTGCTCAACTTGAAACCCTTAGACTCGAGGGCCTGGCTCCAAACCTCCAACCGCTCGTTAACACCGTCCCACGTCTCATCAATTAGAACTATGTCATCAGCAAATAACAAACACCATGGCACATCCCTTTGAATATGGTGTGTCAGTGCATCCATCACTAAGCGCAGAGCCTTAGTGTAACCCCATAACAACCGGGAAATGCTCCGAGTCGCCTCCCACAGTCCTAACCTTAGTCTTAGCTCCATCATACATGTCCTTGATCACTCTGATATAAGTGTCACGCCCCAAAACCGAGGAGCACGGCTGGCGCTAAACCGAGTGAACCGACCGAGCAAGCCTGTTAGACTTCCTTCTACCCAAACTCATCCACGAATGAAGATAATACATATTTTCATTAATTAGACAAAAA